GGCGGGCCCGGGGCGACTTATTCCACGGGGCGCGGGGGGGTGATCGGAGGAGAAGAGCGCTGCGGAGACCGAGTCGAGACAAAATTATACTGGCCATGCAGAATGAGAACATCGACGCTACAGGGGGCACTTGCCTGGCCCAGCTTGCGACGTATCCAGTGACATCTGCGTGATATTGTCAGGGGGCGTCGAGAACGGCAGTGGGCGCGATGGCGCGGGTGTCTCGGCGCCCCCGCGGGCCCGCCATGCCTTTTCCGCGTTTTTTTTTTTGTTTTCCTCCCCCCTCGAGGCGCTCCCGCATCGCTGCGCTGAAGAGCAGAACCCAGGGGGGCGGGCGGGCACCGCTGCCGGATGCGCCCCCAAAGAAGGTCGCCACTTGGAGGGGCGCCCGGATTTTTCTCGAGCTCGAAGGGGCAGCCCGGGAATCGAACGCGCGCGGGCCCGCCGTCGCCCCCGGCGGCGCGAGTGGCAGGTCGCGCAAGAGCTGCGCAGGAGCGGGGGGCGCATTCGGTCCGCATGCGCGCGGCGTCTCACCTGCGCGCAGCTCGACGCAGCGAGCAACTGGGAATTCCTGCTAGAAGCGCGCAGGTCAATGCAGATGGCGGCGGCGACCTCTCTTCTCGAGCGACCCGCGCGCGAACAAGCCGCCGGCCGCTACCTCGCTGCCCGCCCGCTCGACGGGGTCACCACGAACGAGTTCGCCAGAATCGGCGGCGTTCTGGCGGGGGGAAGTTGGCGCGGAACAGCGCGTTGCGCGCGGGGCAGAAAATGCATTGCGCTATAATGTCAGCGCGCCCTCGCCCTCGCGGGCACCGCTGCGGAGACGGCGAAGCATCTTCCGAGCGGCGGAAGGGGGGTGCGCGGCGCCGAGAGTTTGAAGCCGCATTATTTCGTCGAGCTCCTCTGCGCGCGATTCTCGGGCGGCGCCTGGGGCGCTCCGCGCGGCGCTGCAGAGTCCGCTTCAGACGGCGCCCTTCCAGTCAGGCCCCCCATCGCGAGACGGCCGTGGACTCGAGCGGCCGCATTTGACCTCGTCGAGCAGCGGGGCGCTGCCAGGGCCCAGGGGCATTTTGTGCCAGATGATTATCCGAACGAACAAATCCAATCCGCTGCCGAACGAGACCGAGCAGAGTGGCTAGAGGAGGACTTCGCGGCGACAGGTTGGCCTGCTATATAGCGCCTGCGGCGTGGAACTGCGCGCCGACAGCAGGGCTGATTACAGCGCGTGGATGGCGGGGTCGTGGGCGCCACTGGCAGGGCTGAAACAATGGCGATTTATGTTTAGGATGTACAATGACGAAGAATTCACGGCGCAGGGGGGGCGCGCCGTCCGAGCCTCGATTGGGCCCGACTGATAGACATCCCGATTGGGGAGTTTTGTCAGCAGGAGTTGAAGAAGGTGTTGACGCGACTGCGGATGGGCATGGCAAGTGGGCCTGGCCGTGCGCAGCCAGGCTTTTGGGTCGCCCTTGTTTCTTTCCACGCCTCGCCCCATCCGTCGACCTCAAGCTGAAAGACGCGGGCGGCCCGTCAAACCAGGCTTTGTTTTTCGGTATCTGCTATATTCAGAAAAAGGCAGCCCAGCGCTGCCGTCCGATCGCCGTCCCCTTTCACGATTGACAGTAGAATGCAAGGTTATTGCGGCACGGGCCCCCGGCCGGCTTCGAACTGGCGGCGCGGGGACATGCTGCCGAAACCACTTATATGGTTTTCGCCTTGGCAGGGGCGCGGACCTGCCCCCCCCCGTCGCGCGGCGCATCATGGACGCAGCGCAGGGCCTCAGAGACGGCGAGCTGCCCGAATTACCTGCACATTGGTCGAAAGCCTCGACCGCGCCAATCGGGGGGCGATGCGAGCCGAGATTGACATGTTCGTTTCCGTATATAGATGCACATCGTTTCCACTGAGTCGCTGGCGCAGAATCCTGCGCCCGCCAGCAGGAGTTTGGCATAGCCGAATGTTGCCGCTATCCCTGCTTCAGTTCAGCACTGCATTGGCGGTCGCCCTGGCAAATGTGGATTGGTAGAAGGATGGTGGCGCAACAGACGACGTGGGGTATGCCGACAATTTCAGCCTCGTTTGTGCATCATCTATTTTGTCTTACAGGCAATTCTGAGCAAACTGCTGTCGTCTCGAGCTGCCCCGTGCGGCTAGCTTCCAACTTGGGTCTAAGCCGTCGCCCCGCGCATCGGCAACCCGGCGAAAACTGCTGGATCCGAGCGGGCAGCCCATTCCCAGCGCGGAGGAGCACGCGTGCTTCGGCGGCTTGCTGACAACCGGCGGCCCCGCCACATGTGCGGCATCCTAGATGCCGGTAGAGGGGCGGGGCGAATTCTGAAGACAGTTTGGAACCATTCTTCGCTGATCAGTGGGCCGAGGTTCCACGGCGTGTTTACGACGCGCATCGCTTCCAAACTGTGCAGTTTAGACACAGCACGTTTCAACAAAACGGAGTATTTTCGGACTCGATCGTTCCACGTTTGTTTAAGGAAGATACCGGGGATGCCGCGCTTCTTGCGATTTCGAGAACGTGTTTTTTTTTTTTTTTTTTTTTTACAAAAAAAAAAAAAAAAAAAAAAAAAAGTTTGGGACATTTCTTCGGCGACAAACCAGCTGATTGTCCAGCAGTTGTGCCTGTTTGGAAAAGTATCACGTATATCAGACACCAGTATTGTGTGCGAGCAAATGCTTGCACCATCGTCAACGCAGCTGGCGCGGCCAGAAAACGCGCGAAAAAGATGGCACCCAGAGCTTCTTGGGGACACGCGGCTAGAATGTATGCGTTCGTGGCCGTGGGAGTCGACGGACATTGTCTGTCCGCCGCTCTGGGCAGAGACAATTGTTGCTTTCACAAGTGGAACGCCGTTGTTCGACAGTATGCAGTTTCATTACGACTGTTGGCAGTGCTGCCGATGTGCCGTCATGGCGCGGCTTCTACGCGCGTCGCTCAACACGACGCGTCGCTAGTAGTGGGTGTGTCCTCTGAAGCAAACGTGCGTTTTCAGCACATTCGTTCTGTGAGTTTTCGCATCGCATCAGGCACCCCCAAACGCGCCCAATATCGCCCCAAGACGACCCGAGAGGCCTTCAAAAGGGTGCCAAGACAGCCCAGGAGGTACCCAAGCCTGTCCGAGCGGCGCCCAAGACGGGCCACAACGGCCCCAAGAAAATGAGATACATTCTGGGTCCCGGACGGCCCTCGACTAGACACCCCAACATGGCCCCCAAGATGGCCTCAATAACGCACACGAAGCTCCAAACATGTCTTCACCGCCAGCAGTTTCCCCAAAACGTCCAAAATAATTTCCTACGAGCCTCCGAAGAGCCGGCTTGAGGCACCTAAACCGTTCGAAAGGCTTGCGGACAAAACAGCGTATTCGTTTTCTCCTCCAACATTGCGTCTGGGACGCTTTGGCGCCACCCGAGGCTTTCAAACGGTCTGGAGACGCACCGAGAGGCCCCCAAGAGGCTTCCAAGAGCTCCCCTCAAGAGATACGGGAGGCAACAATCACCCCAATGTCGTTGGAAAGCGCACATGTTCAGCAAATTCGCTGTTCCAGTCAGACAGAGTCTACGACGGTCCAAGAGGCGCCAAAGGAGTTCCCAAGACCGTTTACAAGGCCTCAAACACGGCCCAGAGGGCCCCAGAACGTTCCAAGTGAGCTCCAAGAGGGCCTCTTGTGCGAAGCCCGTTGCAGGACATTCCGACATCATTCGCGACAAATTTGCTGAGCCACGGCTGCAGTGAGAGTTTACCGATTCTTTGGGGGACACCATTTTGTTTTGATTCCATGTTGTTCGAAGCCCGCCTTGGCCAATTACGTAATTATTTCTACAGTCGGATTTGATGAGTAGGTCGACCATCCCAGATCAAGGGTACCCTTATGTTCTGCGTTTCGCGTCCCACGTCCTCTGCAGTCCTAGGTCTTGTGTCCTCTCGCGTGCTCTACTCAGCCAAGCTCGAACGTACGATTAGGTTGAGCCACGACTGCGGTGCTGGATTCCCGATTCTTTTGAGGGCACCAGTTTCGTTTGACTCCATACTACGCAAAGCCCGCTGACAACAATTTCGTCATTCTTCGCCACGGGTCTGCTGAGCCACGGTTGCAGTGAGGTATTCGGATTCTTCGGAGGGCGCCAGTTCTCCCTCGTCGCAAATTGGGCGAACTCCGTTGATTACAATTTCGACATCGTGCGCTGCGAGTCAGTTGAGCCATGGTTATTGTGAGGGCTTCATGATTTCTTTGAGAGCACCAGTGAGCCCGCTGCTTCGCTACGAGTGCGAGTCTGCTGAGCCACGGCTGCGGTGAGAGTCACTTCATGGTATGCGAAGCCCGTGGCCCGTTGAAGACACTTATTGCGGCATGCTCTCCTACGAATTTGTTGAGCCACATTTGCATTGAGGTTTCCCGATTCCGATGAGGGCACCAGTTTCTCTTGATTACATGTTGTGCGAATCCTGTTGGAGCTAATTATGATGCCATTCGTTACGAGTTTTCTGAGCCAGTGTTGCACTGTGGGCTTCCCGATTCCCCTTTGGCCACGCCGACTGGATATCGTGTCGACGGTTATGTTCCCGCGAATTCAATGCACCAAAGTGCAGTCGAAGTCCACACGAAGCCATTTGGGCCTTATGTCTGGTCATAACGATAGCGAGGATCCGCGTAGCTAAGCAGGACAGCGACAATGGTGCGAATTCGTAGGGCTGGTGGGGTCAGTGTATCACTCTATGAGACTGTGCGAGCTGTGCTTCGAACAGTCAGGCTGATACCTCGAGCTCGTCAGGGACAAAACACATGTCCACTACTTGGTGACAAATGGCGGCCCAAACAGAGTGTACATATATCTGAATAGGTTCAAAACCCGTCGCGTCGCCTGGAGAACAGTCCAGGAATTCGTGCACTACATGTTGTCTTGTGGTGTTTCTGCGAAGGCCCATGGACAGGGCCCAGCTGGCCTAAACCGCGCAGGCCTAAAACAAGGGAGGAGGGAGGGGCGAGGTGATCTGTCCGATATCATGGCGGCGCTGGACATGAACGGGGACGGCCAGGCGCGCGCGCGCTCAGCGCTCGCCGCGGAATGAGGATGAGGTGGAGGGGGAGGACGAGAAGGAGGAGGAGGAGGAGTAGGAGGTGGAGTAGGAGGAGGATCAGCAGCAGGAGGAGGAGCAGGAGGAGGAGGGGGATTGGGGGGGGGGAGGAGGGGGATGGGGGGGTGGAGTGGGAGGGGGGAAAAGGGAGGGGGATGGTACAAGCTAGGTGCGCTCGCGTCATATCTTATGTCCTACCGCTCCCTCCCATCCGTTACCATGGCGTAGATATCTTCTCTGTTCGCATTGTCGGATATCGAGCAGGGCAATGATCGTAAGAGGGTACGCGATGCATGGTAGAGCACGGCATTGCATGGCGTAGAAGAGAGCGGCAGAGCGTAGCATGCCATAGCACGGCGTGGTATTGCATCTTAAAGCGTTGCAACGCAAAGCATGGCATCGCACAGCGGGGCAGAACACAACGCCGCACAGCATCACATGGCATGGCGCCGGTTTTCTTGGAGGGTAAGTGGATCGTCTTCGAGAGGTTTGGACCGGTGTGGAGTCGTGACTCCATGTCTAGCTCCTCGGGCTCCCCGAAAAGCTCTACACAAGGCGGGGCTGATGGACAGCACCCGCTGGCTCTGCTTTCAATATCGCCTTCTCAAAGAAGAAACGGGGCTCCCGCTTCATACTTGCTGAAAACGACGACGCCCCAAAGGGGGGGGGGGTTGCGGCCCAACAAGTCAACGAATCGACATCGAATGTGTAATCACTTCCGATGTTTTCTTGTCGGGGGGCGGGGCATTCTATAGATTTTGGAGCTTATTTGGAAGAACCAACAACGCCCGTGCTGCAGCGGGATCACGGTTTGGAGCGACCAGAGGCGCAGATGGGGCCAGCGCCGCAGCGGGAGCAACATTTAAGGAACCGAGAAGAATCGGATTGTCAAACACATACATGATAACCAAACTCCCGGCGATCCTGTGTGTAAAAAGTACGCGGAGGGGGCCCGAGGGAGACAAAGGATGAGGGGTGGGGCGGGGGAGGGGAGGAGGGGGATGGATCGGAGGAGGAGAGGGAGGATGAGCAGGAGGAGGAGGAGGAAGGATGATGAGCATGATGAGGAAGAGGAAACATAAGGCAGATGAAGGAGGAGCAGGAATAATAATACGAATAACAATAATAATAACACTATTACGAAAAAGAAGAAGATAGAGGAGAGAGGACGAGGTGGTGCTTGTGGGGCGGCGACGCGGTGGTGGAATCTGGTGTTGCAGTTGGAGAAGGGTGCCGGCGGAGTGAGAGTGAGAGTGGGAGTCACCCAAGGAGCGGCGAGTCGGTACGCGCGGCGGCGCAAGCCCGCACGACGAGAAGGATAAGGAGGAGCAGGAGGACGAGGAGGAAGAGGAGGCGGACGTGGAGGGGCGGAGGGGGATGAGGAGGAAGAGCGGTAAGGAGACGAGGATCGGGCGGGTGGTAATGGGGACGGGTGGTGACCTATTATGGTTTACCCCCCATATAGGTCACCCCCCATGAACACTTGCCCGAGAGGAGGACAACAAGAAGGAAAATGGGACCCGGAAATGAGGAGGGCCCCTTAATTCCGTTCTTTCTTCGCCATCTTTCTTGTCCGCGTCCTTGGTCCCCCCCACTTCGCTCCTCACGCGCGTATTTCTTTGGTCGGCGCTGGACGCACCTTTCTACATCACTCCACGGCGCGCTCCATTCGCAGGTCGCAGCGGCCGAGGCGTCGAACGGTGTGCGGGGGGCGGAGAGTCCAGGGCCGACCCCAAGTCATCCGCGCGGACCTCCGAAAGTGTATGTTCAGTTTTGTCGTGTGTTCTCCATCAGGTCGCAACTCATGGCTGGTTGAGTTCAGCATCGGACCTGCCATCCTTCGCACCAGTCCAGCCTAATCTGGCTTGATTCGGGTTTGTCCTGGACCTAATCTAGCTTAATCTTGCATGGCGACCCTAGTATGTGTATCAACATATCTTGTCGGGTCCCACGAAGGCTTTCCAGGAGTTTGCCTCATAAGCTCCATCACCCCCTCTTCCTTCCCACCTTCTCCCCATTCCTACTCGGTACCCCACTTGCTGGTTCCCTCCTCGAGGTGTATTTCTCCGAGTTCCTGGCGGCCACGGTCAGGCCTGAGCAGCACGCCCACGAGGACGGTCCACCTTCCCCCTCATCCTCGTCCTCCGCGTCCTCGTGTCCCTCTCCAAGTCCTTCCCCTGCATCCTCGTGTCCCCCCGCCTCCTCGTCACAGTCAATCCTCCTCCCCTCTCTCCTCCCCCTCCTCTCTGTCCTCGAGCATCTCTGCCTCCCCTGCCCCCCCCCATCCATCCGATCCTCCTTTCCGTTCTTCCTGCGTGTGCCCTCCCCCTTCCCTCATCCTTCAGCAGTGTCATCCCTCCTTCATCGAACAGCGTCGTTTGGGCCACTTCGTGAGGATTCTTGCGGTAGCTTCTGCGAAGGCATGATATCCGCGGTGGCGTGGTGGATGTGTCCCAGTATTGAGGCCACCGCATTGTGGGTGCATGGTGAGCCAGTAGCGCGAATTGAAGTCAGGGGGTCAATCGAGGTGCGGTGTTCTGGGTATTCAGCGAGATCTGCCTTTGCTCCCCAACCCGTCCAATGCGCGATCACGTGAGCAAAGACGACACGCACGACATCTACGTACATTTGCCTTGTGCAGTGATGCGCGTTTCTTCTGCATTCGATCTGTGATTGCCCCTGAAGTTGTGGGTACGTTTCCGCTGAGGTCGCTCACCACTGCATCTTTCTCTCGGCCATTCTGCTCCTCAAACCATTTAATGTCCTCCTGTTGGTTTTGGTCGAAGGCTGGGTCGCAGCGCACGGGGCGTGCCGGCGAGAGGAGGGTCGCAGTAGCTCCGCCGCCAGATGCGGAATCACAGGGTTCTGGGGCGGACGGCAGCACGGAGTCAATGCATATGCGGGGAGGATCGAGGATTACAGGAAAGTGGCCCGAGGGAGGCCCCGAACGGCCCCTCGACTGCCACAGCGGGCCCGAACGGTGCACGAAGGGCGCACATTTCTTCACCCGCCGTCTACTGCCGCCCCTTTAGTCAAAGAACATATCCGAGGCTCGGGCCGTGAGCAGGGAGCTCTTTGATGGCGTCGTTGCCTTCTTGCCGTGGGCGGCCTCGACGAGGCGCATCCGCAATGAGCCTCTTTGCTCATCCTGTGCCCGTTTCCCTGCGCGAGGACGCGATGCAGGCGGCGTTCGTCCGCCTCGACGCGGATGGGTCGGGCACAATAGGCGCCCGTTTGTTCACGCGCTTGTTTGCCGTCGGCAGGCGCAAACGAGGAGGAGGAGCGTGTTCCTTACGCAAAGGTATGCATCATGGTTGGCACTTTCAGAACAGCGGGACGATCAGGAGGAGGAGTTCGAGAAGCACAACGTCAAAGTGAGGGTTATTGCCTCTGCGCTCCGCCACTCGCGGGTCGGTCTCCAGCTGGGCACAGTGGATGCCGCGACAGGTAATTCGACACACACACACACACAACATCGCACATACATGCATACATACATACATACGCATAAATACGTACGCTCACATACACAATTATCTACCTACCTACCTACCTACTTGCATGTGTTCAACCACACATGCAGAAATACAGACAGACAGACAGACAGACAAACAGACAGACACACATACACACAAACAAACATACACATAGGTACATTTACACATACATACATGTATACATACATACGTACATACATACATAGAAATATGCACGCATGCATGCATACATACACACATTCATGCATACATACATAGAAATATGTACACACCTCAGTACATATGTTAATACATTTAAACGTACATGCACTCATCCGTCAACGTATGCATGTTTACATGCATATGTACGCATAAACAAACACTTATAGACGCCACATTTGTACATACGTGCATACATACAAACAACCATGCATACGTACACCCATCCATACATTCATACATACACACGCACCTGCATACACACACATACACACACGCGTACGTACACACATACATACATACATGCATGTATGCATACGTACGTGCACACATGTGCATGCATTCGTGCACACATACACGCATCCATACATACAGACGTACGTACGTACGCACTACATACACATACACACATACTTGCATACCTACATACACACATGCATACGCACATACGTACATACACACATACAGATATACAAACGTAATTCCATCCATCCATCTGTCCGTCCGTTCATCCATACACACACTTGTATATATATATATATATATATATATATATATATATGTCGGCGGTGCCCTGTGGCACGACCCCCCCCCCGCCTTCCCGGGGTGTTTCGCACAGGGCGCACCGGGTGCCGCCGACGATCTGGAACCCCCCATCTCCCTCTTTCCCGGGGGGATTGTATCGGGCGCACCGGCGCCCCCCCCCCTGTGGTAGTGGGGCGGGGGGCTCCTGAGGGAGTGGGGGGGGCTCCTGCGGGGGCGGCGGGGGTGCGCGGGAGCGAGAGGTATGGTTCTTTGGGGCGTGGGCGTGGTGTGGGAGGGAGGACTAGATGGATGAATGGAGGTACGGATGGATGGACGGATCGACGGACGGATATGAGATAGATGGTCCAGGGTCTGGCCCCCCCCCTCATGCTGATGCCGTCGGGCCCCCCCCCCCCGCGCGATGGGCCCCCCCCCACTGTGGGCGTGGCGTGGTGGCCCCCCCGCCCCCCCTGTGTGCGTGGGGTGGTGGTGGTGGTGGTGGTCGTCCTCGTGGTCGTCGTCGTCGTCGTAGTCGTCGTCGTCGTCGTCGTCGTCGTCGTCGTCGTCGTCGTCGTCGTCGTCGTCGTCGTCATCGTTGTCGTCGTCATCGTCGTCGTCGTCGTCGTCGTCGTTGTCGCGGTGAGGAGTGCGATGGAGTGGGGATGAGTCGGGAAGAGTGCCGGGGAGGGCCGAGGAGGGCGATGGACCGCGGAGTGCGATGGAGTGGGGAGGATCAGAGGGGGCCAAACGTGCCCCAGAACAGACGTACCCTGGGGGGGGTCCCCAGTGCTCTCCGCGGTGCACCCGCAAATCGGGCCGATCGTGGACATTTTCAGTTGGGTGCAACATGCGTTGCAGGTGTCGGACCGTCGCTCAGTTCGCTGCACTCGGGGCAAGCGCGCGACCGATTGCCTCGTGGACATTCAAGCGCGCTCGGCGCGCCACGCTGGCCGTGGCGCGCGCGCACCCGCGCGTGCTTGCTCGCGCGTGCGCGCGCGCTGGCGCGTGCTCGCGCGAAGCCCCGCGCGCTCAATTGACCGCCCCAGCGCACATGTGCGCAATTGCAATGGCCAGCGAGGCGCTCCAGCGCTAGGGAAACTGCAGAGTCGCGGCCAGCCAGGTGCAAAGGCCGCCAGGATGCGCATCGCCCAGATGCATGCGCGGCGCCCTAATCATCATAACCATCACGTCATATTACACAGCGCGTGCTGAGGGCGCATTGTCCACGATGCTCCCATTGCATTTCTTAACTGACGTATCGGCCAGGGTGCCGCGCACTCTCCGAAACCTGCCGAGGGGCCCCATTGGCGAGGGGCGTTGATTTTCCACCGGAGCAGAGCGAAGGTCGAACGGCGGGGATCACGCGTCGCTCCCAGCAGGTTTCCATTTTTATTCAACTCGTCCAGGTTCCGCATTTGGGTTGGCCTGCCGTCTCTGCGCAGTGGCATTCTGGCTCGAAGGTGCGTGGGCGCTCCCAGCCGATCTCTTTCATCGTTCGGAGGCCGCCGGCCAGGTTGGGGCGATGGCTGCTCCATCCGTTGCTGGCTCCAAGGCAGGCGGCCCTGGGCGCGGCGCGGCTGCCAGGGGTGAGAGGGCCATGGTGAAGGCTTTGGCGGCGTCTATCAAGAGTGCGGAGCAAGTGAGGGGCACTCAGGACAGGGACTTCATCTCAGAGTGCTTGGACGGCCAGGACTCGGATCTGGTGCCGGTGATCGCCGGTCTTCTCAGGAATGGCGGCCTCCGGCAGGCGATGACGCTCTTGGACGACCAGAAGCACGTCGACGAGAAGGGCAAGGCTCTCGGCACGTCGCTCACCCATTTTCGGAAGACCATTGGCGTTCCCCTCATGTACGAGATGTTGAAGACCTTCGAGCCCGAGAAGTTCAAGGGTTCCCCCGACGAGGTCGACACGCCTGGCGACGAGCTCATCAAGGTCATCTGCTGGGCCTTGAACACACGAAGGCTTCTTGCCGTGGCCGCCGCCCCCCCCCCCCGCCGCCGCGAGAATGGTGGGCTTCCTAGTCGCCGTCATCGCGGCTTCGGCGTTTTCCTTCGCCGTCCCTCCCTGCTGTTCCCCGCCCTTCTCCTCGTCGTCGCTCGCCCCCCTCCTCGTCGCTTCCCTCCTGGAGGATTTTTGGAGGCATTCGTTCGTGGACCCCTGCCAGGTCGCCCTCGGGCCCCGCTTGCGCTGCCAGGGAGCATCGCGGCTCCGCGAGCGCGGGCCCCGCGCCCGTTGGGGGGGATCGTTGCCGTCGGAGTCTGTCGCTGGCCAATCCAGGAAAGTTTCTGGTTTCGCGAGCTACAAGCCAGGGCGTCGTTTGAGGGACCTTTGTCTCGGCCGTGCGGAGTTTGGACGGCTTGCCAGGCATTGCTGCACAGGGAGCGCGGGGCTCGCGCATCCACGCCAGGGTCGCGACCCTGGGGGCGCAGGCCCGCCGTGGCCAGCGAGCGATCGCAGCGTCGGAAGCGTGGATGTAGCCAGCATCGCTGCAGAGGCCCTGGGTCCAGGGGCGCGCTCCCTGAGTCAACCGCAGGGGGTCGTGGCCATGGAAGCGCGGATCCGCAGCGGTTTACGATGGATCTTGACCCTGGGAGCGCGAATCGGCCTCGTGTCATTTGGATCTTGGCCGCGGGAGCGTGGACCCAACGCGCCCTGCGCGCGGCCGTGGCCCGTGGAGCGCTGACTCCGTGCATTCTGCCGGGAAGCGCGGGCCTGCGCGCCCCTGGGTGGGGGGCGATGGGCGGCCGCGGGGGGCCTTGGGAGCGCGGGGCCCACGGGGTGTGTTGGCGAGGTGCAGCGGCGGGATTTTTCTCCAACGTGCGTTGCAGCAACCGCGCTCAAGCCATCGCCGCGCGGCGGCTTGCGGCATTGAGGCCCCCAGGGGGGGGCGGCGGATCAACGAGGGCACGCCGTTCCCCAGTATCCACCCCTCCCTCCGCTTCGTGAGGGTGCTGTGCTTGTACATTCGTTTGCGGTACGTTGACATGGGTTCCAGGCTCGCGCGCATCGACCCCAAGCGGGCGCTGCTGCCCCAGTGCGTGTACTACAAAATCCTCGATGAGCCCGCCAACACGGTCGAACTCCAGGTCAAGGTCGCGGGCGTCGATGGGCTGCAGAGGGCACCCTTCCCGAAGATGGCTCATGGGCAGAACTGGTACTTCGACAAGCCATATACATTGAAGCCGAGGTTGGTCTCGGACGAGGACGACATGGATCTCAACGTGTTCGCCACGTTCACGAAGGCCCAGTGCAAGATGCCGCCCGAGCCGACCCTGGAATGGGGGATCGACCAGTCTCGTTGGCCAGGCCCGATGCTGAATAAGACCCAGACGTCAGGGGATGGCGAGACGGAGAGCCCTGCAGCCAAAAGGCCCAGAGGCTCTGGGAGCGCCAGGCCAGGTGGATGCCCAGCGGCTTCGGCAGCGCCATCGGCAGCGCCAGCAGCCGCGGCAGCCGCTGAGCAGGAGTAAGTGCGGAGTCGCGAGTGCGGCTTGAAGTTTTTGTGCGTCTGATCGCACTCACAGGCGATGGCTGGCGAGGGTGCGCATATTTTATCCGGAGGTCTTTGAAACGTCGGTCTTGGCTGGGGCTTTTTCGATGCTACATGCTTGTCAGGAGATTACCCCGCCCCCCAGCATTCTCCCTCTGGGGGCCCACCCTGCGGCCCGCCCATTACAGGGCGCCATGGCGAGGGAGGGGGCAGCGTCGGTGAGCCACGGCGCCGCCGCTGCCATCCAGTCGCGTTTCTGGTTTTGCGGTTCCTCCATCTCCCGCCTACTCCCCGTGGAATGCTAGACGCTGCGCGCGTCCCTGCCAGCCCATCCAGGAACGATCCACCGGCGAGTTGCCCTGATCAGGGGAGTGTTGCAGCATGCAGTGGGACAGAATAAACATGAGAACTCAGAGAGTTCTGGAAGCTTCTCGGGACTGTGTGGATTTTTTTGACGCTTCGCGCATCCCCACCAGCCCATCCAGGAACGACGCCCAGGCGAGTTGAGGTGATCA